TCGCACATCGTTTCGCGCCCAGGGTGTTAACAAATCGTGCCGCCAAAAACCCCGCAGACGGTGTTAACAAATCCTCTGGCCAAGAACACCGCAGACGGTCTTCACAAATCGTGCGCCGCCCCGCATGCGGTCTTCACAAATCGCGCGGCTACAAACCCAGCGCGCGGTTCGTGGACCCACAGGGGGGTCCACCGAAGGCCCCAGTAGCATCGTCCACATGGCGGCGCCACGTCACATGGACGCACCCCTCACACGGTCCGCGGCCCCACATGGAGCCCCCAGTTGTATATGGTTGGGTTTTTCGCCAGGCTACATTGTTTTTTTTTTTTTGGTTTGGTGGCTGGGCGTTTCTTATCCGCGTTGTTGGGTTAGCCTGGTGGTAAGGAGCCCAGGGAAACAATTGTTAGGAACAGTTGAGGTTCCGCAGTGTTGTGGCGGATGATGAAGGCAACCTGCGGCATGACATTCGAGACATCAGAACCGCGATTCAATTGTCCAGGAAACTCGTTTTGGACAGTTGCGTTTTCACATCAGTTTTTTTTGTTGCTGACATGTGGTAGACGCATGGTTTCGGACAGTTGAGGTTTGATGAAATGTCATTGGGTGCATTGGTGCACATGCTAATTTGCACACTGGCCCCGCATTGTCCCAGGTGTTGTGCTTGATAAAGGGGGGCATCGTGGCGCGTCCTCGCGTGGCCCTGCGTTCGTTTTCCGTCATTTTGAGGCCGTTCGGGGCCGTCATATGGGCCCCGTTGAGGACCTCGTTGGAAGTTTTTTGGGGCGCTCGGAGCAATCTCGCGGCCCATCCGAAAATGCGGAAAACAAACGCGACAGATTTTTCAAACGTGGACACAAACGATGAAACATGCATGGCGTCGGCTTCTGTGGACCAGCGCGGGGGCCGCCCTTGCGGAGCTCTTGGGCCGCCTGGGCGGCCGCGGGTTGAGTGCTTTTCCTATTCGCGGACTCCTTTCGAGACCGCCTGTGGGCGTCGTTTGATAATCTATGATGATTTATGGGCCGTCTCGGGGCCCTCTCCGACAATCGGGCGGTCTTCTGAGGGGTCGTTGGCCGTCTCGGAGTGGTCTTTGGGGACCTCGAAGGCCGCCCTGGGGCGCCAGGGAGCCCGAAAGGTGCGGACCTCCACATCTTGAATATAATCAAGGATAGATCAATAGTATTTGTCTTTCGGTGCTGTGGTGGGGGCCCTCGGATATCCTTGCGCGCGTTTGCGCCGCCTCGTGCGTCCTTCGTGGGTCTTGTCGGTGCGGAATCAAAGGATTAGCTGGTCGCGGCGCGCCTTCTGGGATCCCCAAGGGGCCGTCGCGATGTCTTCCTGCGCCGCCTCGGGGCCACGCGCGGCCGTCTCGGGGCCCGCTTTGGAACTTGTCGGGCAGCGTAGGGCCAACATTGGATTGGGACGCGCGGGGGTTGAAACGATCAAACAGATGGTTGTTGAGACGGGGCGGCTGTTGTGTCACTTATGCACGGCCGTGGCCTCGATGACACTAACCAGACGCATTGCGCGCGCCAAACGGGGTGCGATTGCATATCCTGTCGAACTGCAAGTACGTCATACGCCTTAGAGAACGTTGGAAATAATCCCAAATGGAAGCGCGAAGCGTTTTCACGCGCCTCTGCGTGCGAAAGCATGGTGGCGGCCTTCCTTTCCTTCCCCTCCGACCCCCTTCCCCCCCTCGCCGCGCTCTACTCTGCGTCCCCCCGCTGCGCCTCCGGCCCCCGCCCCGCCAAACCCTCCGCTCCTGCCCCCCCCCGCCGCCCCCGGCGCCCCCCCCCCTCTGTTGCAATTTTGGATCCGACCATTCTGGCTCAAGTATTCTGGCTCCACAGAACCCTCTGCGTCGACGTCGTCTCCGCGGTGGGTCGACGCCCAGTGCGCAGGCTGCGCTGGCGCGCGCTGTCGGCCCTTCGGAACGCGCGCAGGCCCGCGGAGGCGCGCTCCCGCCTTTGCGGCGTGCGCGCGTGCGCGCGCGAGCGGGCTTTCAATCCCTTCGTTGTGCGTCGCGTCTTGCGCTAATCTGCGCGGTGCGGACGTGCGCGGTCGACTGCGCCGCTTCTTGCGCCGCGCGGCGACGAGAGGATGTGTTTTTTTGTTGTCGCCGCCGTTCGAGGCGCCCATCAATTCCTGGCCGCTGCTCTTGAGTTCTGACCGTTCCCAGCGAGGGTGCCCAGCCTCATAGCTGACTGTTGGCGGTCGCGCTTCGACGCGCGATGCGTTTTTAGCGCGCCCTGAAAACCAGCGCCCGTTGCAATCCGATTCCATACCTCGCTGTTTTTTTTCCAGCTTGGGCTTGCGTTCGCGCCTTGCCGTGCGCGGGCGGCCCTACTCGCGTGATCGCGTCGCTTTGGATGCGCGGCGCGGTTTTCATTATGGTTTTGCGACCCCAAGAACTTTCAGAAGTGCGCCTGGCGACCTGCAAATTTGCACAGCCAGTTGCCATCGCGCCGCGACTTCTGGCGATGCCATCGCCCTCGAACGTGCGCGCGCGCACGTGCGAGCCACTGGTTGTGGGTTAGCGCGCGCAGGCACGCGCATCGCGTTGGCTTGTGCAGTTTGCGTTCATCATGCGGTTGCGCGCTGTAGTGCCGCGTGGGGTTCGCGCGTGGTTGCGCGACCTCCAATGTGTCATTGAACGTAATGGCGCCTTTGATGTCGCTGTCGCAATGATACTTGCTCCAAGGTGTTTGTTCGATGTAGCACCGCTGCCGCTGTCTTTGGCGCAGCGGTTCCTCATCGCAACGTCGCGATTGGCAGGCAATTCGGTCCGCGCCCTTTCGCGCCAAACGCTGTGATCGTGGTGCCCATCGGGGCTTCAGTCTGCAGCGAGGAGCATCGCGCGGGCGCTCGCGTTTTCGCGTTCAGTCAGCCGCGATTGGTCCAACGCTATACCGAGCATTTTGCCATTAAACGTTTAATTTTTTGAATTGCGTTTTGTCGTCAAAAGCTTCGCCAGTAGAATGGCACCACTGAGAAGTCGGTGCCCCATCGCGACCCTCCGTCGTGAACTGTGTAAGGCCGCGTCGGGTCTTTGCAGCACGGGCGTGTTTTTTCTAGTCGGTCCGGGCGCTCTTCCTCGACGGGAGCCCGTCACCAGGCCCCTGGGGGGGTGTCGAGAGTGGATCCGGGGCGGAAAGCTGGCCCCAGGGGGAGGGGTCGGACCTCATGGGGCCGCGCGTTGAAGAAATGTGAGCAGCACGCGTATGCACTAAGGTAAGCGGGCACTCGCCCGAAACAGAGTGTACATCTCTTGTTGAAAGTATCAGGATCGCGCACACACTCCCCGAAAAACGTCAACCATACTGTCCGCGATGGCGTTTGCGGGCATGGCTTCATGGTAATGCTCCCGCCCCTCAAAGAAGCAGATCGTTGGATGTCTTTGGGGGGGAGGGTAGCGACAAGGGGGGAGTGGCGGGGGCTGGCCCCAGCATGGAAACATCGACCCCCCCCCCTGAGATGATCTCGCGGGGGTGTCGATGTGTTCCCAGGGGAAAAGTCCCCACCCCCCCTGAGGATGTCGGGGGAGGCGCCCCCGCAGGAAAAAGCTGCGGCGCCAGGATCATCCTGGCGCCGCAGTTTTTTCCCACCGGGCGTTCTCGCCCAGTTTCAAGCCCCCGCGCCCCTCACGGATCGATCCAGCTCGAGGAATGCCCGAGCCCGAGAAAGATGGGTTCCAGGGCGTTGGTCGTGTAGTGTTCTACGGTGCTGCATTTTTGGTCTTGACGTCGGATCCCAGGCCCAGTCGCCCATTCCTCGCCAATCGGGGTCGGTGCCCCCCGCCGCCAAGAACGTGCGGTCTCGCCATCGGGGGCCTATCGCCGAGCTGTCGGCGATGCACCGCCGATTCACAGTACATGGTTTCCCCTCCCCCGCATGAGGCTCGAGGATCTGGACTCCTGAACTTTTGGGGGGCCCTCTTTCTTTGGGGCTGAGGCCTAGGTGTTACCAGAAGGTGTCCCTGACCCAAGGCTCTGGTCTAGCCAAGGCGACAAAAATGCAGCCTGTCCAAAGTCGTCCTCCCCTGCAGGAGCCCCGTTTGTGGACGATGAGTCGGGCCAGAAAAGAGGGGGGATTGGGAAATGGGGAGGCGCGAAATCTGCTGCCTGCAGCTGGCCTCTGCCCCGCCGTCGGGCCCGTTCCTGGATACAGCTGCGCCAGGAAAACCAGGCACGTGAGCTGACTCGCTGACACCACCCCGTTTCTATGCCAGTCCGGGAGAGGCTCGGCCGTTGCCAGAAAGTGTCGCTGACCCAAGGTGCCCTAGGATGCCCAGGTGCTCTCCGCGCCTTCCAGACTTCCGGCGTCGTGGTTTTTGTCATAGCGCCGTTCCCCAGGTCTCCTTCCCAGGGACCGACGCTTGACCGTCCCAGGGACTGGCGAGGGCCCCCCAGGGGCTGAAGATGGGCAAAAAACATTCCGTCGTGTGAGGTGTGTTCTGTTTGGCACAGAGAAGATGTCACGATACCCGTGGGGGCCCTGGGCGCCCCAGACTGGCGCGAAAGGCTGGGGACTCCTGGGCTAGGAGCATCTCTAGCAGTCCCCCGCGAGGCGCCTCGAGTGGCCTCTGGAGGCCTCCATGGGCTCCATAGACCTCCAGATACCTTCGAGGGCCGATCATCGTCGCCATGATCGTGGTAGTCGTGATAATCGTCGTGGTCGTCGTTGTCGTGGTCGTCAGTGTCGGGGTCGTCGTTTGTCGTGGAAGTGGTCGTGTTCGTGCTGGTCGTCGTGGTTGTTGTCTTCGTCGGCACGGTCATGGTCGCAGGTCGGGGACGTGAAGGTCAGTGTCGTCGTTATGGACATCGTTGTCCTCGTCGATGTATGCACTGCCGTCGTGGGCGTGCATGTCGTCGACACCGCGGACGTCGTCCTCGTCGCCGTGGTCTTCGTCGTGGTCGTGGAGGTGCATCGTGGTCTCCGCCGTGGGTCTTGCAGACCGCCGTGGCCGCGGCGTCTTCTCGCCGCCGCCAGCCGCCGAGGCCGCCGCCTTCTTCAAGAGGGCCGTCGCCGCCCACCTCGCGACCGCGCAGGGCACCGCCTGACGGCGGCCTCGGCGCCGGCCGCGGCGTGGCGCGTGAGCCGTGGCCGCGCCCGTCGGCGGCGGCCCTCGGCGGCGGCCTTCCTTGAGATCCTGGAGTCGCAGTTTTTCCCTGCGGGCGATCTTGCCCTGCTTCGGGCCCCGCGGCCCCCGCGGATCGATCCAGCTCGAAAAATGCAGCAGGAAGATGAGGTCCAAGGCTCTGGGCGTAGTTAATTTCTTACGATGCTGCAATTGTCGGCGGTGCGCCCGGGGGTAAGTGAGAAGGAGAATGCCTTCTCAGACGGCTGGGGGGCTTCTCAGAAGCCCTGCGACCTTCTGAGAAGCTTCCTGCGCCTTCGGGGAAGGCTTTGAAAGCTTACCGGACGGGCCGGGGCCTTCCGACCCTTCTCTGAGGGCCGCCCCCTCTCACCTCCCCCGTGGGCTCGCCGCCGAGACAGGCTCGTGACGCTGCATCTCAGGGCCTTCGGCTGCCTCCGGCCGGCGGCCCCGCGGCCGGGGCGCTGGTCGGCCGGCCGCGGCGCGGCGTGGGCCCGGTGGCTGGCGAGGAGTGCGGGCTGAGGATCTCTTGGGCCTCGCGTGGCGATGATTAGGGGAGGCAGCAAGGGCTGCAGACAAGGGGCCCCTAAGAGGGCCCTCCAGGGTCCAGAAAAGAGCTTTCAGGGCCCGGAAAGAGCACCTGTCTCGCTCCCCCCCCCCCCCCCCCCCCATTTTTCGCCCCTTCCATTGAGCGACGCCCAATGGTCGCAAGTGGGTCGGGTTGGGTCAGCCACGCACAGAGAGGGGTGGGGGGGAGGGGGAACTGCTTCTCAGAAACTCCTGTGCTTCTTAGAAGGAGGGCCTTATCTATAGATGTAAGGCTGGCGCCGTCTAAGAAGCAGCCTCCTTCTACGAAGCTTTCCCCCTCCCTCCATCCCCTTGTGTGCGCCGCCAAGTAGGGGATGTGGGGGAATGTGGATTTCCGGCCGGCGATGGCCCTCCAGAATGTTGGTCCCGTGGGTCAAGGCCTTTGGGGAGCCACGTGGTGAAACAAACACCACGTCGGATGTTTGAGTGGGGGAACCGTCGGGAGCGTCTTCTTGAGCGCCCCCGATGTTTCCCCGACGCTTCGTGGCTCTGCCCCGCGCCCCCGACTTTGGCTCCTGGGCGCCTTCTCGCCTCGGGATGCTTTCCAGCAGCTGCACCTCGTTGAGAGCTGTTCAAAGGATCCCCGAGAAGCCGCGCCGGAGGCCCGAGTTTATGACCCTTGAGTAAATGAGTTCATGCAGTGTATATTATCACTATGATCTTGAACTCCCAGGGCAGATTGTTGGTATTGTGTTTATCCGTAGGCACCCTCTTGGCCCGAGGTTATCGTGCGTTTCAGGAGAATATTCCTCCGCCACCATCCTGTCGGATATCATTCGATGTGCTTTCGCGCGTCAGTGGTAGCAGGAGCTTGACACTCCCAGGAGTGTTGGTCGATCCGCGGCACGATGTCGGGTGAACCGAAGGATGGCAACGGCGAGGGACAACGCAGGGCAGAAAATCTAGCGGGCAGGAAGGAATTGTCGGATGGCACGGTGGACTCAGATGTGTTCACTGGCGAGCAGAAAATTGAGCTTGAGCAGATGATGAAGCAGCAGCTGGCGCAGACGGAGGCCATGCTGCTGAAGTACCTAGGCAAACACGGCGCGAGCGAGAAGGAAGAGGGTGTTGACCGGCGACCTCGCGATCCGTGGGATTCAGATGACCCGTGGAAGGGTCAAAGTCGGTCGGAGAGCCAGGGCGGAGAAAGAAGAGAATGGTCTCAAGAAGAATGGGACGAGTGGAAAAAGGCCAAGGGCGGCAGGTACGAGAGCGACTGGAGGGACCAGAAGTGGGAGAAGGGCGACTACACTGATCCGGAGGCCTTCATGGGCTGGTCAGACTATAGATTGTGGCGTCGCCGAGTGGTCAGGTGGCTCGACCAGACAGACGTACCGCCGAGGAAGAGGTCCGACAAGATCCTGAAGGTATTAGACAGGGACTTGCAGAGAAAATTCGAGGATATCTCAGACGCAGTGTTGCAGTCAGCTGAAGGGCCGATGACGATCATCAAGCGACTCGACATCATGAGCGGACAACGCATAGACGACGAGAAAAGAAGAGCGGGCCGAGAATGCTTGATGGGATATCGACGCAAAGCGGATGAAACCCTCTCAGTATACACGGCAAGGATGGACCAGAACTTCGAGAGGCTGAAGGGCCAGGGGCTCGAATTAGACGACAGCTGGAAAATATTATTTCTTGAAGAAGGCATAGGACTGGATGAGAGCGGGATGCAGATGCTGAAGGTCATGAGCCGCGGCTCCAAGGACTACGAGGAAGTGATCGGCGCGGCGAGAGAGATGGACGTGACACGCAACGAGCATCTCGGCGCCCGGACGGGCAAGGCCACGGCGGCGACCTACGCACTGCAGGATGATGACGACGACCTCTGCGAGTACAGCGACGTATCTTCCATGACGTCGGAGCAGGAGGCTTTCGTGCTGGAGTCGATCGCCGAGGCCGACGTAGACGAGTACGAGTTACCAGAGGTGTTGGCGACGTTGGAAAAGGACAGAAAGAAGACGTGGAAGGAGAACCGGGACTACAAAAGGCACCTTCGAGTGGATAGAAAATTCTACCAGACCCCGGGGGGGCCTTCGGGCCCCAGGGCGCCGGCACCGCCGCCGCCGCACCCGGGGAGACGTGACGGACTACATCGGAGTGCGAAAGGGATAGTGCGTGAGCGGAAGAGGAGACTTCCGATCGAGAAACGAATGAAGATCACCAAGTGTCATCGATGCCACAAGAAGGGACACTGGAGCCGAGAATGCCCCGAGAAGGGAGACTCGACGGGAGCCGCAGCGGGAAGCGGGTTCGCGCTGCTCAATGAATCGGAGCCGAGCTACGCGATCCTGGCCTCGGAGAACATCAACTCGATCAACGCGCGCGGGTTGATTCACCAGGTTGTGGACCGCATCAAATCCGAGAAGGTCGAGGCCATGAGCCTGCTGGTCACCGGCTCAGGGGGCATCGTGGTGGACACGGCGGCGGGCCAGGCGCTGATCGGGCCGCAGGCACTGCAGAGGCTGGAGAAGCGTCTCGGCGAGCTGGGCTTCCGAGTAGTTCGGGTCAAGAGCAAGCACCAGTTCGCGAGAGGTGTCGGCGGGAAGACGCCGGTGCAGTCAGGACTCCTGGTCCCCACAGGCATCGAGGGCAAGACAGGCATCATGGAGCTGGACCTGATCGAGCAAGACGTGCCGGCCCTGATGCCGATCAGTATGCAGGAGCAGATGAAGGCAGTGATCGATCTCCCGAAGGCCGAGATGACTCTGAGGGCGCTAGGGGTGACCACCAGCTTGAAGCGGCTGTCGAGTGGTCATCGCACGATCGCGATCGACAAGCTCGGCAGCCCAGAGGATTTTGAGCTTCCGGAGGCTGTCCGGAAGCGTTTCGGACTGCAGGCGTCTGACTTTCGCCTGAGCTCGAGCGAGAGCTACGTGCTTCCTCCTCCCGCTCGGTCGTCCTCCCTCGTGTCGTCGATGTCGTCTACGGAACAGTCGACTCGGAAACCCAGGGCCGATTGGGCTCGTATCGAGAAAGACCCGGCCTCGCTATCGAAAGTGATCAGCAACGACACCCAGAAGCATCAAGGAGGACCTCCAAGTGCAGGTGAGCACCTCTTTCCCCCCCCCCTCTGGTTCTGGAGGCCCTCGAGGCGTTCCGGGAAACTCAGAGGCCTTTCGGCGGATGTCTTGGGAGGCGGTCTCTCCTACTCATTTTTCGTCCCGTCGTCGACGTCGTGATCCGACGCATGTGGCCATTTCTGGGCCGAGCGGTTTGAGGAGGACGTTTCGAGACGCTTTCTCTCACACGGGCTGCAGATGCCATGGTGACGTACTGGAATCGAGCCGAGAAAACGTTTCTGCAGGCGATGACGGGCTCCACCGCGAGCGACAGTGGCGAGCCGCAGTGCGTCAAGTACTTGCTGACCGGAAACGAGCATCCGAGCGGGCTGTCGGTGGGAGACAAGTTCTGGGCGTACCTCAGCTCCAGGATCGTGGCCGATCACCAGCACAAGGGGCTGAAGCTGCTGCACATGTTCCAGAACGGCCACCAGTGGCCAATCAAGACCAAGAAGGCGGACAGGTTCTACACGGAGCGCCAGATGAAGTGCAGTCATTCCTGGGCACGTCTCATCAGTTTCGGCAATTCCCACGGCAGTTGGGAAGTCTGCGGGGACTGCGACATGAGGGTCTCGTACTTCCAGAAGGCGTCCGTCATCTACAAGGGGAAGGGCAAGTCGCCTCAGAGCGGCTCGACGGTGCTGAACGCGAGCGACCTCACCAAGCCCCCCGGGGGCAGGGCATCGGTGAGGAACTCGGTGGAGTGCACGAGGGTCGCTCTCATGACGACGACGAGCGACCGGGGGCCGACCCAGGGCTCGGAGGAGCCGATGAGGGTGAAGAAGCGCTCCGAGGAGATGGTGCAGTATCGGGCTTTGGAGGCGCCCATGGAAGTAGACAGCACAGGTCCAGCACGCCCTCGCCAGCACGCCCCTCGTGCGTCGCTGATCAGCGAGATCAAGAGCATGAAAGAAGAGATGACCAACCAGAATCACGGCCTGCTCGCCCTGGTGGTGGAGCAGGGAAAAGCCATTCAGCACATCCAGGCGGCGCAGCTCGGCATCCAGGAGAAGCAGGCCATGATGGAGAAGCAGATGGCGATCGAGGACCAGCCGAAGACGCTGCCGCCGCAGGTGCCGGCCCAGGCGGTGTTCCCCGTCGGGTGGGAGACGATCGAGTCGCCTCCGACCGCCGGCAGTGCCGGCAGCGGACCAAGCAGTCCCTGAAGGACGGCAGGTGCTTGTATGGCCTGAGTGAGCTGCCCGAGGCGGAGAGCCTCGATCGGATTCTAAGCAGCGCCGGATGGCGAGCGCACGAGACTTTCTTTTTCCAGGAAGAAGCGCCCCACTATCTTGGGGAGGACGGGAGGATGAACCTGATTAGAAGGCCAAATGGAGCGTGGGCGACGGAGAAGGAGGGGGGCGCTTCTCCAGACGACCAGGCAGAGCGCTTGGTGGCGATGTCCCTGCCTGTTTGGCGGGATCTGTTGCTCTCAGGCGAGTTTAATGACGATTTCGAGGCGATCGCCTCCAGGAGGGAAAAGAAAGCATGTGAGAAGGCCCTGCGCTTCTCGGCAGGACCATCCCACGGTGAAGGACGGCTTCCAAGAGGGGCGCAGCTTCCACCAGAGGGACAGCTTCCAGGAGGGGTGCAGCTTCCACCAGAGAGACAGCTTCCAGGAGGGGGGCAGCTTCCACCAGACGGACAGCTTCCCCATCCGGAACGAGAAGTTCAGGGACCCTTCGAAGACCGACCTCAGGGAGCATCCACCCGCTCCCCGGCTTGCCTAGCGGCTGTCCGCAGTCAGACCCCCAAGTCCGAGAGACTCGAGGCCTCCAGGAGACGGCAGTGGGCCGACAGGGCCTTTGTCGAGGTGTATTCTCCTCCTCGGATCGGCCCCGAGGTCCAGAAGCGCAGGATGGGATGTCTCGGGAGTTGGGATTTGGAAACCGGATGGGACTTGAGAGGGGGGGGTCAGACTTGCGGTTAGGCAGCGCCTGAGAAAAGAGAAGCCAGCAGTTGCCATGATGGAACCCCCGTGCCAGACACACAGCGCCATGTTTAGGGTCAGCAAGGGGTCCATGGATTCCGAGTACCGCGAGGCTCTGATCTCGGAGGGCCTCACTCACCTTCATCATGCGGTCGACCTGGCCCTCATCCAGTACCGCGGAGGGCGCTCCTTCGTGCTGGAGCACCCTGACACGGCGTCGTCCTGGGAGGACCCCAGAGTGGTCCGATTGGCGGTGCTTCCGGGCGTCCAGGCGGTTTCGTTCGACATGTGCTGTTTCGGTCTCACGGTGGATCCCGAGGGCAAGTTGTCCAGGAAGCGAACTAGACTGCTGACAAACGACCCCATAGTGATCGAGATGTTCAAGAAATATCAGTGCTCGGGGGACCACGAGCACTTCGTTCTGGAAGGTCGGGCGGTGACTCGAAAATCCCAGGTGTACCCCGAGGCCTTCTGCAGGCACATGGCCGAGACCGTCGCCAAGATCGTGTCTTCCATGGCACGCAAGTCAGCCCGCCCCGAGTCGTTCTGGGGACTGATAGATCAGGTCAACTCTTTCCCAGTAGGAGCGTCGGGAGGAGCGGCCCCACCCGTGAGAGAAGACGATGTCGATCTGGACTCTGAAGAACAGGACGCGGACATGGGCTCTGGAGATCTCGACCCGATTCTAGAAGGCGAGGAAGGGGGAGAATATGATGAGCCCGACGAGGCTCAACCTCCTCTCACCATCGACGCCCGCGTCAAAGACCTGCTGTATAAGGTTCACGTCAATCTGGGACACCCTCGACTTCCCCTCTTCATTCGTGTTCTGAGGGGGGCTCACGTTCGCCCCGAGGTCCTGGAGTACGTGAAGGCGTCTTTCTCGTGTCCAGACTGCGACGCCCACCCCAAGGCAGAGCAGAGACGAAGGGCGGCTATGCCTCACACGTTTCAATTTAATCGCGTGGTGGGGATAGACGTGTTTGATGTTTCCTTCGAGGGCCGTTCTATTCCTTTTTTGAACGCGGTGTGCCACGGAACGAACTACCAAGTGGTAGCCAGGTGCAACGGATATGGGACCCCAACGGCCCGGAGTGCGTGGGAAGCGTTCGTGGGATCGTGGATCCGATATTTCGGCCCCCCGGAGTTGGTGCTTTCGGACGGCGGAGCCGAGTTTCAGGCCGAGTTCCTCAGGGGGCTGGAGCAACAGGGCGCGTTCCAACATGTGGTGAACGCGGAGGCCCTTTGGGAAAACGGCCGCGCGGAGAGACACGGGGTGGACAAGGGATCGGAACAGACCGTCGTCGCCACGGAGAAAGAGCTCGAGATCCTGGCGTACGAGGTAGTGGCCTCGAAGAACAACTACCTTCACCGGGGGGGGTTCTCTCCGAATCAACTCGTTTTCGGGCGCAATCCACGTGTTCCACACGAGTTGATGTCTGATGACCCCCTCGGTTTGGTCGGCCAGCAGGATCTCGACGAGACGGCGTGGGACCAAGATACCGCAGCAGCGGACTTCGCCAGAGCAATGAGCATCCGACGTTTTGCTAGGACCCAGTTGTTTCAGAAGGGAAGCCAGGCCCGAGTGAAGGCCGCAGCCAAGGCATCGAGACACCGCGACACCAGATACAGTCCCGGAGACTGGGTTTACGCGTGGCGCAGGGCCCCGAGGGCCCAGCGCAAGACCTACGCGCTGCAACGCGATAGGTGGACCGGCCCCGGGGTCGTGGTCTTCCAACACAGCAACTGCGTCTGGGTGTCGATGAGGTCTCGATTATGGAAGTGCGCCAGTGAGCAGCTGAGACCCGCCGCCGGGCCCGAGGCCAGGGGGGCGGAGATTCTGCAGGATCCAGCCGTGGCCTCCATGATCCGAGAGGTGCAGTCTGGCGCGCACCAAGGAGGGGTTAACGTCATGAAGGAAGGCCCACCTCCGGCGGAGGCCTGGGAAGAGCCTGTTCCCCCCGCGGACGGGTCTACCTCAGCTCCTCTTCCCTCCATGCTTCCTCCCGAGTCGCCGGGATCCCTCGGCGACGCAGGACGCGATGAAGTTCCTCAGAGAGCGGAAGAAGCTCCAGCAGGCGCCAGAGAGACCGGTGCACCACGTGACGAGGAACCGTTCATGCCCGAGAGGCAGGTGTCTGTCGGAGAGTCGACTCGGTCGGGGATGCCGGAAGTTCGGATGGGCGAGTAGGTCGCATGATCGCCGACTGGGATAGGCTCGGTTCGGCGGCTCCTTCCGCTTCGGACCCGGAAAGGAACAGATCCAGGTCTCCGGGTCGAGGCCAGGCGGGTTCCGAAGAGAGGCCCGACGCCATGACGGATGTGGTTCTCATGTCTCTGTCGGAAGAAGAGCTCGGTCAATATTTTCTGTCCCTTCAGGAGGGCATGACCGAGAGGGGATGGAGCGGATCTTGGGTGGAGTTCGGAAACGGAAACGCCGACGTGGAGTTGGTCCCGGGGGAAGGGTCCGAGGCAGGAACGTTGACCTTGGCTGCTTCGCGGGGCTCGGAAGTTTCGAAGAAGCGTCTGAGTCCAGAGGAAGCGGCTGAGTTCGACGAGGCCGACGCCAAGGAATGGAAAGCCATCATGGACACCCAAGCGGTGCGGGTGTTTCCCCCCGAGGAGGGTCGCAGGCTCCGTGAGAGGTATCCGAATCGAGTCGTGTCTAGCCGCATGGTGAGGAGGTGGAAGCCGCAGGAGGGGACTTTCTCGCGACCCAAGGCCAAAAGTCGGTGGTGTGTTCGGGGTCACGAAGACGAGGACACCGGAGAGCTCCGAGTGTACTCACCCACTCCTCAGATGGAGAGCCTTATGTTGTTCCTGACGATGTCTCTGGCGCTCGATATGGATATCCAGATCGGAGATCTTAAGAATGCTTCCTGTCAGAGCGATCCCCTGGTTCGTCCCCGTGGGAGAGTCTTCGTGGAGCCATGCGAGGGACTATCCCTCCCCCCCGGTTCCTTAATAGAGCTCATCGCCCCTGTGTATGGGCTGGACGACGCCCCACTGGCTCTCCATCGCACCACCGTGTCGTTTTTCGGGTCGAGGGGTATGTTAAGTCCAAGCTGGAGCCGTGCTGGATGACGAAAAGAGGTCCCCGGGGTCCCGAGTCCATGGTTCTCATTGAGGTGGACGACTGGTGCATGGCCCACCTCCCTTCCGTCCAGGCCGAGGAGCTGAAAAGCTACAGAGAGCGTTTCGATTTTGGCAAGATGGTGAGGCTCGACGCTTCGGGGGTAGATTACATAGGTCGCCGGTTGAGGAGGCTTAATGATAGGATTCTTGTGGATCAGGAAAAATACATCCTGGAGCAGATACACCGTCTTCCCCTCCCTCGTGCCCGTCGATCCAACCACGATGAGCCACTCGTCGGCCGCGAGATCTCGGATTTCCGATCCATGGTGTATCGTCTCAACTGGGTCGGTCGGGAGACGCGAGCGGAGGCGTCGGGAACTGCCTCCTTGCTCGCGAGTAGGGTCACGCATCCTACCGTCGGGGACGCCGTGGTGCTGAATAAGATGGTTGACCACCTTCGTCAGACTGCCAATATGCCTATCATCGTTTGGCGTTTCAATATTCCTTCTATGCTGTTCGCTACGGCCTCCGACTGCGGCGGAGTCGCGGCGAACAGCGGGGACAAGCCCCAGCAAGCGTGGCAAGTATATGCAGCTGATGCTGCTTTGTCCCGCGGGTCCCGGGCCCGAGTCGCCCCATTGGCATGGCGCTCGCGTCGGGTGAAACGCCAGGTCCCTTCGACGCTCGCCGGAGAGGTTCAGTCACTGAGCGCGGCCCTCGCGGAGGCCGAGTGGCTTCAGATGCTGTTCTACGACGTTCTTCAGGGCAACCTTCTAGACGACTCCTGGAGATCCCACATAGGCCCCTTTGCCTCAGTGCTGCGCAGGAGCTGTACCCTGGACCTGACCCCCGAGGGAAATATCAGCGTGGTGGATGCCAAGGGCATCTTCGATACGTTGGATAAGGAGACCTCTGGCAGTAAGAACGACAGAAGAGCTGCGATCGATCTCGCAGTGTGCAGGGACTCTCTAGGACGCGTTGGGGGAGTAGTTCGATGGGTCCCACATCCCATGATGCCCGTAGACGTGATGACAAAGGCAGACCTCTCCAAGTCAAACGCTGCGCAGCTGCAGCTGCTGCGCTCAGGTCTTTTGCAGATCACCTCCGAGAGCGCGGCCCTGGAGAACCGACGGCAGGACCCGTCGTCGAAGGGCCGTTCTCGAGCCGCCTCCGTTAGGCAGCTGGAGGCCGAGTCTGCTGGTCCGTCGTCGCTGTTGTCGTCGTCCTCGTCTCTTTCCTTTCTCCCATTTCAGACCCCGTCGGTGGAACCGACCCGGTCAGGCTACACTGTGCGATTTGATGGCAGCAGGCCAAGAGTTACCGACGTCACCTCAGTCTGAGGGTGCCCCTTTTCAGTTTTGATTTAGTGGAGTTTCAAGCTCACTAAAATGCGGCGGACTGAGTAAATGAGTTCATGCAGTGTATATTATCACTATGATCTTGAACTCCCAGGGCAGATTGTTGGTATTGTGTTTATCCGTAGGCGCCCTCTTGGCCCGAGGTTATCGTGCGTTTCAGGAGAATATTCCTCCGCCACCATCCTGTCGGATATCATTCGACGTGCTTTCGCGCGTCACCCTGGCGCCACCAAGCGTCGAGGGGGCAAGGACTACGGAGGAGTGGGTAGGATTGTTGGGGCAAAGAGGTCTCCCACATTTCATGCCCCCTTCTTCTTATTGCTAGTGTGGACAATAGCCTTGTTATTTTCGTTGGCAATATCATTATTAG